GATAAATCCATTAAAATAGCAGCTACATAGTCATTTCTATCCAATGCTGCCCGCCACTCCTCGGTGAGAGCCAACAGAGTTGATTGACAACTATACCCAGGTCGAAAAGCGGACAGCATTGGATTGAAAATGTCTTTAAAAAATACAGCCATCTGCTCAGATATGGCCCTTTCAAAAATTTTGGATATCGCCGGTAGAACACTCACCGGACGATAGTATTGTCTATCTAGCGAGTCTTTCTTTTTGTATATCGGAGTGACCCTTGCCAACTTCAGTCTATCAGGAAATGCTCCCTGTTTTAGTGTTTGTAGTGTAGTTAGTATGTTATGCTTTACTTTCTGTATTCGTTTACGAACACGTGATCTATGACACTATTGTATATGCAACACGTCACGGTGGGAATAAAACATACGGGGTCTTTGAGCCTGTGTGATGAACAGTAAACAGACGTGTTTACTTGAGTGTTCAGAGGCAAGGGCTTACAACACTATATTCTGGCGACGAGGAACTGAAAGGTGGGTGAAAACAGATCAGTGGATATCCAGAGACAGGTTTTGACGGTTGAAACGAAGGAGCAAACGCACATCTATACGGGAAAAGCGGTGTCAAAGTGCATACCCAGTGCCAATTGCCAGTTGGAGCAGCGCAGCCGTTTGTTCCAACTTCTAGCAACTGAAATTGAAACTGAAACGTCTCAGTGTGTTTTCCTGCCATATCGATCGAAGCCTACGTGTGCAAGCCTACGTACGAGCACTGGTGCTACAGAAAGCTGGGGAAGCCTACCTCAACGCTGATTCAATAGGAAACGGAGAATGACAACCGGCCTACCACAATTTCCAGCGTTCGCCGTGCACGCGGACAGTGGCAACACTGGACTGAGATGGGCGAAATGGGTGGCGAAGTTGGAGAATCTGATGTTAGCATTAAACATAACCACACCAAAACGGAAAAGAGCTATAATTCTACACTATGCTGGTGACGAAGTGTATGAAGTTTTCATCACGCTGCCCGACACAGGGAGTGAATATGACTTTGAGCTCGCCCGTGACAGTTTGACAAACTACTTCAACCCCAAGAGAAATATGGAGTATGAAGTCTACCTGTTCAGGAAGGAGAAACAAGCTGCTGGTGAGTCACTGGCACATACCACACACGGCTAAGACAATGAGCGATGACATGTGAGTTTCCAGACAGCGACCGGGAAATCAAAACACAGATTG